TCAGTAATAAGTTATACCTAAATAACAACTGCCTTTATGTGCAATCCACTGCTAGTGCTAAAGTACTGCTAGTGCTGCTAAACTACCACTGAGACTAATGCTATTATTTCCATGGCTGCTACTACAAGTTGTACTGAAACAACTACTACTTCACCACTGCTGCTGCTGCCAATGAGACTACTACTGAGACTATTGCTAGTACTACTGCTACCTGTACTACTACTACAGCTACTGGTAATGCTAGCACTACTGTTGCTGCTAGTACTTCTAATGCTACTTCTACTTTAGCCACTGCTAGTCGTCCTCCTACCACCACAACTACTCCAAGTTTACCCTGCCACCACTGTTACTCATTCTACTACTGCAATACCTACTTCTGTGTTTACTACTACTACTACTACTACTACTACTACTACTACTACTACTACTACTACTACTACTACTACTAAAGCTACTGCTAATGCTAGCACTACTGTTGCTGCTAGTACTACTAATGCTACCACTACTTTAGCCACTGCTAACCCTCCTCCTACCACAACTACTGCAGCTTGACTCTGCTGTAATGCCTACTTCTGTCACGACAAATACTGCTGCTACTACTGCTACTACTACTACTACTACTACTACTACTACTACTATTATGCTGCTGCTGCCAATGAAACTACTGTTGCTACTCCTGCTACGACTAAAAGCCTGGCTAACTCTTCTTACTCATGCCACTACTACATACTACTACATCGTGTACTTCTAATGGGCTACTACTGCTACAACTCCCATTACTACTACTTAGTGCAACTTCTACAACTGTAACTTCTACTGCTGGTTATGCTTCCTACTATAACTCATTCATTCATCTTTTACTACATCTGTACTCTACTTCAGCTCAGATAGCAGTCGTGCTTCTTCCAGCTGCAATCAGACAGAATGAGGATGAATGAAGAGGAGGAGGAGGAGGAGGAGGAGGAGGGGGCAGTGTATGTACTGGATCGGGGTAATTAGCTATCTAAACATTTGGTCGTAGCTCTCATTGACTTTTGTCCACCTGTTAAGCCAAACGGCATCTTCAGCTCATTGACACCGCACTGTGAGTTCTACCAGGAAACGCACACAGACACACACACACACACACACACACACACACATTTGTGCACATAAAGTACAGATACCTTCCTTTATCATGTGTACATGCAATAGAGGCAAACATGATGTACATGTTTGGGTTTATCTTCTGAGAGATAAAGATGGAATTTACCTTTGAAAACAGATTCAAAGGGAGATACAGGTATAGAGGTACACAGAGGTAAATATCAGTAAAAGCTGTGTGAAATGAGTTTTTATCAGAATATCCAGATGTTTTTTGTTTTTGTTGTGATCGCTTTTGGGCAAAAATGGACGAATTTAATAGATGAATAGATGTTTTTGTTTAATTTTAAGATACATTACTGTAATAAAAGATAATTCTTTAATTAGAATTTAGTCTTTAAGGCAACTGTCATGTTTGTTCACTTTAAACTGGGGAAGTTTGGCCCGAGTCCGAGACCTGGGCATTGTTGTGGGGAAACTAAGGTCTCTCACAAGGGACTTACAGATTACAGATTACATTATTTTTTGGCTCATGAAAATGGAGCTAAACTGGATTATGTTTACATGGAAAACTCCAATGATTGGTAAAACTTTCATTTCATTCATTTTCTCAGCTTTTCTGCAGAACATTTGAAAACATTTTTCTCAATATCTCATTGATACTGGGAAAACTTGTTGAATTAGCGCTCGCAAGCATTTCCAGACGGAATTCTTCTTCTTCTTCTGTGTTTGTCTACACACATGAAAAAAGAACAAGAGTAGAAGAAATAGAAAAAAGAAGAGGTAGCTATGCAGTGTTTGTTAACATCTCGGATTTATCTCAGCAATCTGAGGATGTTATGGCTAAAACCTCTGTCTCACACACACACACACACACACACATACACAGAGAGAGCAGACAGATTCCCCACCACAAACTCCACCTGGGCTGTGGGTCACATGAAAGGTTAGGGAACCCGTGAACCCATGTGGGTGGTTGTGCAATCACGCGTGTGTATATGTCTGTCTATGTGTGTGTGTGTGTGTGTGTGTTTGTGTGCGTGTGTGTGTGTGCGCGTGCACAGGAAAGCATGCATCAAATTAAGTGCATGTTTGTGGTCGTGCGGCATTACGGGTTCAAAGGAAAACCTCCAGGTATACATTACCGCTGAACTCCCTCACCTGGCTGAGTGGAGATTCATATCTGGGTGAGGATTAATACTACACACACACACACACACACACACACACACACACACACACTCATACACACACACCAACAAACAGCTATGAAACAGTGATGTATGAGTTAATGATTAACAACTAAATGTGCATGTGCGTGTCTTTCAGTGTTTATTTTGTATTGTTGTTGTACACATTCAGATCTGTTATCCTTGTTCTCACTGTCCTGTGAAAACCATGTATCTCCCAAATGTCAACTTTATAGGAACCAGAAGAAGAAAAAAAAAACAGCAATGTGCGAACTTTAAAGGAGTTCATTAGAGTTTTAAACATCAATGGCACAGACGAGCATTAGATGCTAAAACTTATATATGTATTTGTAATATTAAGTCGTATACGTGGAGATACGTGGTTTTCAGTGGAGAGGGATGTTAAAGGCAGGTTGAATTCCTAGAGACAGGTTCGTGTCATGCACACTTCTTCCACTGGGGGGCCTCAGTGAGAACATTATGAGGGGGAAGGCAGATTGTAGCCTATCTGTGTGTGTGTGTGTGTGTGTGTGTGTGTGTGTGTGTGTGTGTGAGAGAGAGAGAGAGAGAGAGAGAGAGAGAGAGAGGGAGAGAGAGAGACAAAGAGAGAGACAACCCCCTGCACCATCCTTTTATCAGCGTCTCCTCATTCTTTCACAAAATAATCTCAACTCAAACTCCACTTACTCATTTCTTTCAACTATACCCCACAGCCTGAGCTAACCCTCCACTCACTGATGAAGGCCATGGGAAGTGGCTGAAAACTAGTAAGTGGATCAAACTTCTCTTCTCTGCTCCAAGGTCAAGAATGGACTTTCCCTCTCTTTCTTCAACCCCCCCCCCCTTCATCCTCACATCCCTTCGCCTTCACCCTTGACTTTACATCTCCATGGCAACAACATTAACAGCCAGTCTGACCACCAAAAACCAAACATACCTTTAGCAGACTCTTTAACCTCTACATTTTTTACTTTAACAATATTTCTGACTGTCTCGTATTCGTATCTTTACATATTTTGCAGTTCCTGAAACAGATGTTCAGCCCTCTACAACCACATCTGTCCATCTGATTATGTCCTTGCCTTTATCAATGTTTCCAGCTCTCTGGAAACGGAAGATATGATGGAGTTTATGCTGCAGGAACGTCAGCAGAAAGGTCTCTCAGGTTCACATGTTCAGTTGTGTATATTCTAGACAAGATGCATAAACTCAGAGGGGGGTTGTTTGGTCTATGTGTACATTTTCTTTCCTCTATAAACAGGAATGGAGTCACCTTCCTCTTGAAGACTGGATCAGAGCTAACAGAGGGTGGAGATATAGGAAAGTCTGGAAGATTTATTAAAAAAAAAAGTCCTAACACACTCACAGGCTCTTTCTCATATCATAAACCTGATGAACTGAGTGTGTGCAGGCTTGATTGGACACGCCTCGTGTGTGGGCGGGATCAAGTCAATCAGCATGCAACTAGTCCTCATGCATTATTAATGAATCGTGAATATTCAGCGTGCACCGTCGAGCCTGTTGGAATATTACATGAGAGGCCAGACTGAGACACACACACGCACACGCACACACACACACACACACACACACACACACACACACACACACACACAAAGCAGACTCACTCTTTACAGAGATGTCAAAGATGTAAAGTTGGAGAGCTGCAGCTGGGGGTGAGGAGGCAGTCACTTAAACAAATGCAGAGTGAAGAGAGGCAAAGTATGCACAAACACACACACAAACACACACACACACACCTCCTGGATCCAAATGCATCTTCAGTGCAAAGACACTTTCACTTTGAATCCCTACTAGAGCCACTAGAGTCCTGCTCCCGCCGCCCTGGCTGCACACAGCCCAAACCCACAGGGTGTCAGGAGCAAGATCAACCAACACACATGGATTTTTATTCACATACACACTTCAATACGCGTCAATAACCAGCTGCTGTTAACATGAAACACACCTGCAAGGGAGAGAAACACCTGAGAAAGAAATCACAGTCTCTCACTTCATGAACAACAGCATGTCTTATAAGTCAGGTAGCAGCCTGTGAGAGCGCTGACAGAGCGAGGGATGTTATGGCTGATGTTTTAATTTGAAGGCAAGCGGGCTGCCAGCGCGCCGCCGCCGCCGCCGCGTTCCCCCACAGACTTTTACATACTTCAGGGGTCTGATATCAAGGATAAAAGACAGATGCAAGCTGGGAGAAGTCATGTTGCTACAGGACGCCTGCCTGTTGCGTGGAACAGGAGTAGAAGGAGAAACGTGATGCGCAGGCAACGGGACAGAAACACCGTCCGATCTTTGCATGGAACTACAAAGCAGAGCTCGTGAAGGTGCCCGTCGTAAAAAAGAAAAAAAAAAAGTGCCATAAAGACTCAGCATAATAATTACATGGTAATAATTCTACTGCAACTGAACGGAAGCAGTAACAGGATGATTATGGTTAATATTATAATAAGAGCAGGAGGATAGGCGCGTGTTATAAAGCAGCTTCTCTATTTATAAACTTTAGTTGAGCTTGCAGGGGGAGCCGGTGCTGGTGTCCCGGCGCCGGCTGAGTGAGAGCGGCAGGTCTCTCGGCTTCTTCCCGCTGGGTATCTTTTCGTTAACAGGCTCTAAATCTCTACAAATACACACACACACACACACACACACACATACAAAAAAAGGAAAACAAACAAACAAACAAACAAACAAACAAACAGGAAACGCACTTACCGCAGAGTCGGATCGCTGCACCGCGACGCACAGGGCGAGGAAGAGCAGAGGCACGGTGAGCTGTCGCAGGCTCTTCAAGTCTTTACTCATCTTGAGGGGGGAATAAAACAAGGATCCGCCTGCGTTAACACTGACAAACTCTGCGGTTCTCTACTCGCATGTCATAGCCCTGCTCGCCCCCCCGCCCCCCGGTGCACACTGGCTCTCAGTGGAATAGAAATAGTCAGAAAAACACTTGTTCTCGGCTGTGCTGCCTGTTGTTGCGCTGGCTTGCAGAGGCTTCTGCTGGTCCTGGCTCTGGCACCCGTGCGCCTCTGTAGTCCCCCCTCTCTAACTTTTTCTCCTCTCGACTTGCAAACCTGCCTAGCCGGATCTACTTCCCACACCCAGGGCGCACTGATATCTGCCCCCGTGCACCTACACCACGGCAGACAATTAATCTAAAATAAAGTTTCAGGATAATTTGCGCGTAAAAACGCGGCTCCAAACAGACGATGAACGCGTGTTACTTCAGTCCCGTGGGCGATTTGTTTCAGTTGTTTTAAATTTCCTCTTCCATTTAAAGAGAAGTGAATCATGTTAGGACCTCCGCAAGGGCGGATGGATATGGCCTTCCTCCTGCGTGCCTATCCAATCCTACCCAGCGCCTGAGGCTGCACAAAAAAGGTTTGGCATTAAACCTTTATTTGACATTTTCTATACGCCCGGACACGTTGCATTCCTGGCAGATTATTAAAGGTCAAATAGTCACTTTTGACTCCTGACAGAGGGATGCTGCTGGCAGAATGGAAGAGAGTGAAATTAACTCTTTTTTTTTCTTTGTAAATGAAGTGCATCATCTTCTCCTTCTCATTTTACTGTTGCACTCTTTTAAACAGGGTCATTAGATGAACTTACTCACAGCTGCTGATATGGAGTCAGGAGACAGTCGGTGACTAATCAACCAACAGTTTATGGATGAGATCATCAAAACCTCCTCAAACACAAATGAAAGTGATATAAAGACACTTCAGGTGCAGATTTTCTTCTTGCAATGAAGCTAAAACTTCATTAGGAAACTTTTAATGTGAAGTATTATCTAAAAATTCCATTACATCCTGGTTACTGATCATGGATCATGTCTATTGGATGTAGACGCTTGTTTTACTGCATTCATAGCCAGTTACAGACCATAGTATTAAAACCTCAGGTAGCAGTGTTAGACCCAGTATCATCACAGGTTGGGGGAACTCAAGTGATGCCAACTTGTGCATGGGTATCTGTTAGTTTTAGTCTCTGTGGTACCAGGAACTGCAATAAGTTGCTTTTGTATATTAAAAGTACTTAACCAGTAAAGTAAAAGAAAAGGTCAAAAAGTGGCATAACCAAAACCATGAAAGCGTACACTTACCATGCAAATGAAACTGTAACTGTCCATAATACTTAAAAACTTTTTGGGATGTTTGACTGTGATTTTATTGGTGGTATAAGTATTTATTAACACAATAAATACTTATATTATCACCAATAAAATTAGTTTTGCTTTGTTGATGGTACGATGTTGCCCAGTCGTCTGGACGATTGCATTTTGAAATCTTTAAATCAAGAAGCACAATGGAAATAAGAATCAGGCTTCATTGTCTTCTCCTTCACATTTTTGTTTGTGTGTGAATATTGATCGAATGTGACACATGCACATCTCCGTTTGTCACTCGGCTGGTGGAGCGAGGCACTGACGCTGGCAGGGTTAACGGTTCCATTCCCACTGATAAGGCAGGGATGTGACAACACAGGATTATGGCTGATAGGATTCATTGTGTTCTCCTTCAAATTTTTGTTTGTGTGTGATTATTGATCAACCGGACACATGCACATCTCCGTTTGTCACGTCTTAACTGTGGAGACCAAGCTTTGCATATTACGTTTCTTCCACCTTATGAGTTGAGAAAATGTTGTAACTGTCTGATACTTTCATGCAGCTCATCCTGTTTGTGAGTTGCCAATGTGATCATAAATTCACCCTGAGGAGTCATTGTTGGCTTACTTTGAGGAAAGTTTTGAGACATTGAGGTTTTTTACGAGGCGGTGAGTTTAGGGTCAGGGTAAGAACTGGGAGTATAGCTATTTAGGCAGCAATGAAAATACATAATGTGTCTGCAAATTATACAACGCCTGATCGAGCCTGATGAAGGTCTTTGACCGAAATGTTGCAATAAATCATTCAATCAAAGTTAGACAGTGTGCAGTATTTTTTTGATTGCCACTTTGGATCCACTCAACCTCTTCCTACGCACCTGAGTCACTAAATAGATGTGCAAAGTTTTCTCCTGTTTTGCAAATTATATGACAAGGTGCGAAACTAAAGAGGCCCCAGGTAGGATCCTTGGAAACGAGCTACGGGGAGACGACAGTTTACCTTCATCTAAGAGTCCACATGCAGCTGGAGCAGCAACATGAGCGTCATTTTAGCAAAAACCTCTCATCAGAAGAATGAACCTGTTGTGATTAACAGCGGTGAAGCCTCACTCTGGTCGTGTTGAACTAAAATAGAACATTAACGAGCTAAAAGAGGACTGTTTGCAACTTGAGTAACTCAGTGTCTGTGCCATGTTCAGAGTGGAGATCAGGACAGAGTATAGTTCAGGCAAAGCTTTTTAATTTTATTTACTTAAAATAGACATGACCCCCACAACACAAAGCCAAGATGACTTGCAGAAGCCATGTTTGTGACCTCAGAGGAAAAACTTTCATTGTAAACTCATGACATCCCACACAAATCTCATGCAGATTAAATAAAAGTTATTGTTTAGTAACTAATTTTATGTCTCTATAGAGATTGGCAGGATTCATTTATTGATTATATTGGTGCTAATGTTGCACAAAATTTCATTACATTCACTTTTTATTGATTTTATATTGATTTCACATGAAAATCAGTAAAGAAAATGTATCATAATTGAGTATTATGAACATAAAGTTACTTACAATAAATAATTCTTTTTTATTTTTTTATTTTTCATGGATGAAAACTGGGATTGGAGACTCAACACTGCTCGGGACTGCATGTGTCTCCTCTGCAGGAACCGAGCAGTGAGCAGAGGTTCTGGTGTCTGTGCATGGCTAAAAACCTGCTGCTGTATAGCCAAAGGTACGGAGGCATGAATGACATGTGTTGGCCCCTCCTCCCCTTCTGCTGTGTTGCGCTGCTGAGTTGAAGCGCAACAGCCCGGAGAGCGCAGCAGCGACTTCACCGCTGCAACTTTGGTGAGTTGGATAAGCTCTCATATTATGAAAAGAAATCACCCAGAAAGCGAAGGGGTTGTGTTTTAATACTCGGAGGTGTGTGTGTGTGTGTGTGTGTGTGGACAGTGGAGGTTTGTGTGTGTGTGGCGGTGGGACTACTTTATCTCCTTCTTTCCCTGTGTGTGTCTCCGGGTAGATGACGGGGTTTTTTTTTGGAGCTGTCGATGTGCGCGTTTGAAGTGCTTTGCTGGTGAAGACAAGGGGGATCGAGTCTCGACCTACGGTTCCCTCTCTGCCAGTCGGATCAAAAAATGAAATTCCTGTAAGCATTTTTTCCCCCCTCCTCTTAAAAATCTGATTTCTCCAAAGTTTAGTTTTCGGGTTCGCAAGCTGCCGCTGCGGCTCTGGGCTGCATATGAGGCCAAATCCGGCGCAGTTTACCTGCTGGAGAAAAACACACTAACGAAAATGTTTATTTTCTTGGCAGGATTTGTGTGGTAGCAGTCGCCTTGGCGGTGGGATCTGCGCACGGAGTAAGTCCCATTTGTTTACTATTACCCTCCTTCAGGTGAAGTGCACGGCTCTTCACTCGGTTTATTTATAGCGTGGATGCAAACTACCAAGCTGAAAGTTTTTTTTTTTTTAAATGTGTTGTTATGCACTGTGACCGTCTAATTGCTGGAGAAGACACTTTTCATGCACGTAAATGGCTCATGTGAATCAGCAGCTTGGTCTAATACGACTAAATGGGGAGCTCACTGTGCCTGAAAGCCACTCAGTTTGAAACAGCAGCAGCCTCTTGTTGCTTAAATTACATGCTGATGTGTCTGCAAAGCGACTTTCATTCCCACGATGTCCACAGCAGACACCCTGCACCCTGCACCGGTCTTTTACATGGGTTTAACTCCTCCATGCGTCACGTTGTGGGTGTCTGCAGCCTGCCGCATGAGGAGACACACAACTCTGAATTATTTTTTTTTGTCACTGTACAAAACATTAAGGACACTCCAGTCAGATGTTTCCCTCCGTTTTGATCGGAAATTAAAATTCCAGATGTCTTCTAACTATACGGATAATGTTTTTTTGTTTTTCTTTTAAAGCTTTGGCTCATAAGTCTGTATTTATGTGTGGCCTGAGGGAGTGAAAAGGCAGCTCATATTTGAGTGGGCCCGCTCAGTCATTTGCACTCCAAACCCCGCCCTGCTGAATATTTAGGATATGGAGATTTATTAGGGCAAGAAGCCACACCTATACAAGTATTCCTCAGCTGAGGGACACATGTACTGCAGTGCTAGTTCAATACATTTGCAGATTTCACTCTTTAAACCTTTTTTATTTTATATTATTCCTCAGTATATTATGGTTATTTGAAAGTTTACCCTCAAGTGTTTAAAAACCAATTGGATTATGGGGAAAAAAGAGGCTGAAAACAGGACCGTGTTTCCTGCAGCTGCACATGAAAAGTTAGCATTTTAGAGATTTATGGTTTTCACATGACATTGATGACTGAATGAACAAGAAAGCAGGAGCAATATGGCACAGAAGTGTATAAAAAGAAGCAAAAAAAAAAAGAAGCATGCAGCAGCAGCTAAATGTACAACAGAAGAAGAGAAGAGTTACTACAGTGCAGTTGACGGTGTGACGGTGCAGGATATTTGTTGGATGCAATTTTTCAAGCACAAAATCAACTGTAATCCTTCCAAATGCCTTAGCAGAGGGAATTGAACCATTAACCCTGCCAGCGTCAGTGCCTTGCTTCACCAGCTGAGTGACAGGAAATGCTAGTGAGGTCGTCATCAGCTGCGACAGAGACGCTGACTGGGAACATTAAAGCGAATTGGCATCAAAAAGCTTCCTGCGTCTCAATGGGACTCAGCTGATGGAGCTGCATTGACTTTGAATTGACTCCTCCACCCACTTCCCCACCTCCCCGTTGTCCTGTGTTGTGCGCGTGTGGGTGGCTGAGTGGATGGATATGCGTGTTTGGTTGAGTGCGTGACAGATGAGTTCATTGGGTGGTCGGGGTCGTTGTAACCTTGGTAACCGTGTCTTTGGTCGTCACCGTGGTGCGGCAGCGGCGGCCCAGCCCAGAGTTAGTGTGTGTTTTCGGGCCGGACCAGATTATAAAGTTCATTACCTTTCTGTGCTGCTGTACACTGACACCAGAGGAATAGTTTTATTTATCAGTATCGGCAGATGAGACTAAACACAGACCCACTTGGTTATCTTTCACTGGAAATAGCGTAGCATGCTAGATGAAACAGTGATGGCTTTGCAGGAAGCATAACGTGCAACCAAATCAAAATAAAAGTTTGCTTATGACTCTTTTTTTTTATAAACCTTTATACAGACACCATTTTAAAGTGTCATAGGCCTCTATCCTCATAAGTGCTGTAAAAATCGTCTATAATAATATCTTTAGTATTTTGACAGACAGATTGTATTTTCTAATGAGTTTCCATTTTAGCATGAGGGGATAGCGTAAGGAAAACAAGTACAAAAACAAGGAGCGGCGTTAGCATTAGCAGCTGTTTACTTAACCAGTCTTAACAAGAGCTTCAGCCATTGTTGCATTCACAATATAAGAGGTTAACGTATTATAACCTCTTGTATCTGAGCAGCTCTACTTCTTCAGGGTAGACTGAGCACTACAGTGACTCTGTGTTGGAAAGCGACAAGAGGGACAGGGGTTAGCTGGTTAGCATGCTAACTTCAGTAGAAGAAAATGAATGGTAGAAATAGAGGCAAAACAAGAGTCAACTTTCCACCACTGGAGGCAGCTCTTGGTGAGTAAAGAGATTAAATATTATTCTTCTAGACTGGTAAGTAAACAGTTGTTGATGCTAATGTTAGCTATGTAGCAATAGCTAAACTTACAAATAGCTACTTAATGTTTCTTTCAAAAATGTTCTTCTCCAAATTTGTAACACAGCTGTGACAGCTGAAATGGAAAAATGTGGTTTTGCCATTTTGGACAAAAATTGTTTAATTTTGTGTTCAGCTTGTTAGCTAGCTAACCACAGTATGTGTTAGCTACTGTTTACCGTCTACTTAGCATGTCTGGAAGAAGCTAACGCTGGTTTTAGGTAGGAGTCAGTGTGTTAGCATTAGTTTAGTTTGCTAGTTTGCTGGCTAGTCATGATGCTAAAGCTAGCAGTGTTAGCTACAAGCTAAAGAGCTAAAGACACAAATGTGTATCGAGCCACATTAAACTACAGTAAATTTGGAAATGTGCATCTTTATGGATTACTCAGCTTTATTTATATCACTAGTAATCAACCGCAAACCCGTACCACCACAATTCTTTTAGGTATCCCTGTCTTTTTTTTAAATTTTTTTTAGCCTGATTCCAGATTTATGATGCTGCAATGTCATTTTTGAGAATAATGCTTCAGTGAACATAAAGAAAGAGCATCTGTAGGAACTTACCCAGAGTGTCTGTAAGGGCTGACACAGCTGTTGGCACAGGGAAAACATCACACTCAGGTGAGGAGGAATGGTGAGGAGAGGGGAGGAGGCGTGACGGGAAGGAGAGGAGGGAGTCAGAAGTTTTGGACCAAATGATTCTGTACGACCTGGGCAGTTAGAAAAATGTACTCTTTACATTTTCTTGTAAGAAAACTTTGAACAGGTTTGACCTCTCGGATATGTTGCAGGAATGGATCTATTTGCAAATTTAAGTTTGATTTTTCAAACCTTAAAGGACCACAACAACTTTATTTTGCAAGTTTAAACCATTGCTGAATGCGTGTAATACAGTTTTAGATGTTTGGATGTGTTTTTCTTACTGTTCCACACATTTTTTTCTTTTTGACAATATGATCAATAGCTGACCACATTAATTTGTGTCAGTTGTTGTGATGTAAAGTAGAGGCTAGAGGTTATTGAACTGATTGAATCCTTTTGGTTACAACAGTCAGAGCACAGCTGAAAGTGATCATTACAATTTCCCATAGCCCAAGGTGAAGTATCATGTGTAACATTAAAAAGAAAAGCATCAAATCCTCAGATTTCATTTTTGACATTTATGCTTGAAAAATTACAGAAGCTATTGATCGACTGTCAAAATAGTCATTGGTTGATTTTCTGTTCAGTTGATCAACTAATTGTTTCAACTGTAATTTGTAGTAATTTGGGCTAAAAGATGCCACTTGTACCATCGTTTAACGCAACTTCATTGTATCTGTGGACACAAACCATGAGTCGAGGCGATATTACTTCCCCCCCGCACCCCCCCTGTTGAATTCCTCCACAGCTTGGCAGGACTTGTCAGACTATCTCCCACTCCCCGCAGGTGCTATAGGCTGAAACATTCCAGAAACGCTAAGTGAGGCGACTTGATCACTGCTTGATTTGTGGTTGCATTATTACCCCCTCACAACCCTCTTTCCTATCACTTTTTGCCCCCGCTGCTTCCACAAGTCAGACAATTCATTACAGGCTGATTTATGGTGTGATTTGTGAGCAGTGGTCCCCACAACCTCTCCAGCCTCCATGTGGTGTCACAGCCCATTCCTTTCTGTCTTTCTTGTTCTTAGTATTTCTTTAGATGCAGCGAAGGAGCTGAGAGGATTGGTCGATTAATCAAACTGACCATTAATTGCAAAATAGTTTAATAACCCATAAAACAAAAATACCAAACATTCACTTCTCCTGCCTGTCTGTATGTGAAGATTTACTGTTTTTCTTTGTCACATAATTGAATTTTTTTAGGTTTTAGATGGTTGTTTGGATAAAACAAGCAATTTGTGGAATAGCGCTTTGGGCTAAGAAAATTATTTATTTCATTATTTACATATTTTTCTTGACATTTTATATCCAAAATGGAACAGATTCATCAAGAACATGTTTGGCAGGTTAATTCATAATAAAAGTAATTGTTAGTTGATGTTGTATTTAGGTGCTTCTGATTCATGACGTGCATATTCAGCATTGGCTAAAAGTTTCACTTTTTCTTAGCTGCTGGATTTTCTTCATTTTCTTCATTTCTGTAACTCCCCCTGTTGCACAGCGGAGAGTTGGTTAAAAAATGTGCCTTCAGGACATAAATAACGTCAGTTTAGTTTTGTCACACTTCATGTAACCATAGAAATGCAGGTTTTTTAGAGCTCCTGTTAGCTAACTTGTGCTAACATGATCGTAAAGCCCAGAAAAGACAACAAATGAACATTAACAAGACTTAGAAAATAAAGTTTGAGAAACCACAATTAAGCGTTACTCTTTCAATTTTTGCCCTGAGAGAAAAAAAAGAAGGTGACAAGCAAAAAAAAATAAAATTGACCACATGATTGTAGCGCAGAGAAAGCTGTCAAGCCTAATTAAACATGATTTATGACTGAACTGTCAGGTAATAAATATTTCAGGGGTGTTGGTTTAAATATCAGCATGTTCCTGGATGTTAAGCGATGGCAGCAACTGAACGGTGGTTCACATTCCCCGAAGGCTTTTGCCTGAAATCAAGAGTCAACGCTGATGATCTGGGTCAGGAGGAGATTAAGTCGAGTTTATGAAAAGGTTCTGAAGTTGTTTTGAA